CGGCCCGCCGGCCCAGGCTTTCCTCCGGGAGGCAAGAGGAGGGAGCAGCCGGGGGGTCCAGGGCCCTTGCAGGCGGGCGACGAGGCCCTCCGGCTCCTTCCGCGGACCTGGCCGAGCGCCAGGGCAGCGCCTGGCTCGTCTGAGCCGCACAACAGCCCTGCCAGGTGGATTCGACAGAGGGAGCGTCGGCGTCCAACTCGCTGGCTGGCAGGGGCCTCTCCCAGAGGGAGCTCCGGGGTGTTGGCCGGGCGGTGCTGGCAAGGAAAGGAGCGAGGTCGCCCCATAATGCAGATGATGCGGTTTCATCATTTTGTCTGATGAGGTGCCGGTGGATTCCCCCAGACCCCCGCCTTTCCAAGGCATCGCCCACCCTTCTGGTTGGAATACTTTTTGCGGGAAGAAAAGGATGGAGAAAGAATTAGAAAGATGTGGGAAGGTTCAGATGGAAAATGAGGCTCTGGAGGAGATTTTAACCCTTGTCGGTTAACATGAAGAGGTCTTACTCCCATCCTGAATCGCTCCTCTACCATAGTAGCTTTCAGAGATTAAATAAATCTATGGCTCCAGATTTAGACGTCTCTGAACTGCAGAAAACACCAGGTGTAAGGAGCTGGACAGGATGGAGAGGAAGAAGCACTTTAATTATCATGCAAACTCTCTTAGTGATATTTGCCAATAAAATTCCATGGGGGGGGGGTGGCAGCAGAAGTCAAGCTTCATCTTTAAGCATCTTGAGGCTCCCCAGCTGGATTCCAAAATTTGCAGATTACACTGGACTCCCTGTTATCTCCAAAATTTAACTGATGCTCCACAGTGTTTAACCTGTTCCACGTTTACATGTTAAGCCATGGTTTCCTCCAGCATAGTTTTCAGAATGAATCCTCATTAATTGGGTTTAAAGGACAAATTAAGCCATAAACTATGGTCTGCAAGCCAGGAGGGCTGGGCTAATCCATTGCGCAAAACCAAAACCTGATCATGGTTTACATGTGTCATTAAGCTGGTAATGAAAAATCTCTAACTCCTTGAAGCTGCTCATTCTCTGCACGTCACAACATAGTTGGCAGTTTTCATGTGCCCTCTGTTTTTGCAACATTTTTCTCAGTTTCTCCCTTGCAAAACAGCCAGCGGCGTTTTTTCACACCTACCAGCTGGAGCTCTGATTGTGAGAGGGTGTGTGTGTGACTTCCCAAAGTTAAGTAAGTGCCTCGATAGCCTGCTGTTCCCTCCAGTCAAGATTAACATGCGTGGACTTCCCTCTTCAGGCTGTGTTTCTAGTCCTCATTGTCCTTCTGTTCTGGTGCCTCTGAAATTTTCTTTAAGGATGGAATTCGACGCAGGGCTGGCTCTG